TTCCAGAAATGGTGTAATTCACACGTAGAAGAAAAAGCAGGATAGCTTTTGATCATAAGCTCATACCTGCAACATAAGGTTCACTAGACCTTCAGTAGCTGAATATGGAAATTCACCAGTACCACACTCAAAGAGTGCAAGCCCAAGGCTCCAAATGTCAGCTGGATAAGAATAGCTCTCGTTTCGAATTCGCTCTGGTGACATGTATGTGACAGTTCCGACGAAAGTAGCACACTGTTATCACGTGCAAAAACCGAGTTAACAAAAACTTGTCTCGGTTGCCTCCAATTCAATGGTCAATAACACCGAGGGAAATGGTAACGATGCTAACTATTAAAACTAACCATTGCCATTGAATTCTCCAAGCCAGCACTTATGCCAAAATCAGTAATTTTTGCTTCACCCTTCAGATTTACAAGTAAATTGGCTGGCTTTATATCTCTGTGAACCAAATGTCTCATTCCATGCAGATAACTTAGACCCTTAAAAACCAGAATGAAATGGTACCAATTAGTTAATAGAACAAGTAAGCCAATTATTGAAAATATACCCCAGAATTTCGGGGATAGTAAATGAGAAAGGGAAAAGAAAACCCTACTTGAAGAAGTTTCTGAAACATAGACGAAAGGACAGGCTCGGGTATACATTTTTTCAAACGTAGGACATCTGCCAACGACCCTCCATCCATGTACTCCAAAGCTATGCTAATTTGCCCAGAATCAGGGGTATAAAATGCTCCATGAAACTCCACAAGGCCCTCGGAACAGGGTGCTTCGCATAGTGTCCTTATCTCGGTAAGAAGCTGCTGCCTTTTCTCCTAGAAACATAACAAAAAGAGTAAGATGGATGATTTCTAATTCATTTGAGATTTGTTTACACTAAAAGATCATAGTACCAGTAGCTGCCAACAAAATAATGAAGTACAGTAAGCATATGAATTGGCTTAAACGAAACCACTATGGATTAGCATAGTTAGTTAAGCAGCAAGTTGAAATGTTCTATATTCATACGATCTTTGAAGTCGTGGACTCAAACTATGGTGGCCACTAGTTTAAGACATCAATATGCTACTATTTCCATAACATAAATGTCGTTAAGGAACATTATAGGGTAGCCCAACACATAAATGTCGTTAAGGAACATAAATGTTGTTAAGATTATGAGTTTCAACTATGCTGCCTTCTGGACCATACACATTCTCTCTTTAAAACAAGAACATGTTCTGAATCTCAAAGATGACATCTTCAACACATCATGATTACACACCATTGCTAAAAGAAATCGTCAACAAGCAAAGAAACAGTGAGAATGCCAAATCACAAACCTTTTCAAAGATATTAATCTTCTTCAATGCCATGATTCGATGAGCAGGAATGTGGATAGCTCTCTGAACAACACTGCTAGCCCCACTACCAATGGCTCCAAATATCCTCATTTCACGGGAAGCACATCGATATGTCCTTTCACTACTCCCCGAATTATCGGCAAGCCACGATGTACATTTTTGTAACCCTAGCTCATTAAAATTGTAAACCCCATACGATCGGCTCAGCAAATTAACAGTCCCATTGTCTGAAAACTTCAGAAACAACAATAAAGGTCTCAACAATTAGTGTCAATCATTTATTTCTATTCATCCACACTTCATTTGCAGGCTTGAAAACTAGCACAAACTATGAATACTACGAATATTATGACCTTCAACTATGATGTTAGGTTAAATCATCCAATAACTCAAAATTAATTCATATTCTTAACAATCAGAAAGAAAAACCCCTTTTCTAAAATTTAAATTGCAATTAGGTTACCGTATATGAATCAGAAGGGTCCACAGGGGAATCCATAGAAAGCCCTTTTTCAGCATCAAACAAGGGAGTAAGTTTTCTCTTGAGTTCCTCGAGACCCGCCATGTTCGAATAATCTGTACAACACTAGAGATACTGATTGTGGGGGAAAGAAGCTAGAACTGAAACGAACAATGAACAGCAATAGAATTTGGAATAGTGAAATCATAACCATAAAAACGCGATCGAATCACGCACCACAATCGAAAAATCTCTTCAAAACCCCCCGAAATCGCTTTCCTCCGATAAATTTGGTCGGAAAGATTCGAGCATGTCCCACTGCGCGCCGAATCGGGAAATTCGGGTTGCTGATTTGTTTGCTATTAGGCACGCCTGTGATCTCGCCAATAAAATTTCGCCTCCCAGTGTCGGTTTTGAAAGCTTCTTTTATTGGTTACTCCAAAACGACGCCGTATGATTTCAATTTTATGGTGGGATTTTACCACTTTGACTAATGACTAGTCCGTCGTTTCGCTTTCTAGTTGAAACGACGCAGTTTTGGCTATACCACCTTTAATCAATTTTTTTTATTACTTGTCATAGGATTAATATTAATTTTTTAAAAAAAAAATTATACTCTTTTATGAATTTTATTTCTATTTATTTATTGATATTTTTTTCTAATATAATCTGATCACTGGAAAAATAATATTAAACTAATTTATTTTACCAAATTAATAAAAATTCATAATTAAAGTCTTGCTTAATAACGGTTTGATTATTGAATTTAATTTTAAAAAAATAAAGTAATAAACATTACTCCGTAAATTCATAAATTTTGTAATCCAATTTCATACACTTGGTTCTTATATTTTCTTTCATAATACCCGATAATCGATAATCGTCATTACCATTATACTTAATTATAAATTATCTTATCTACTTGCAACTTGATCCTAATTTATTTTAGTCCATACACAATCGGTTGTATATACAGAGTATGACGAAAGGTGATTTGAGGGTCAATAGGGTGGAGCCGAAGAGTAATAAATCGGAGAAGAATAGTAGAGGATTCAGAAGCCATTGAAAAGAAAGGATCGGAGTTATTAAACCGAAAGGGCTATGATATCATGAAAATGTTTGCTTAATCCACCCCGAAGTTATCTATTTATAATCAAATAAATTACAAAGATATGAAAAAAAAAATAATAAATGGAAAGATACTTATACTAAGAAGATATTTACTTTATAATAAAATATCAAATATGATATATATGGTAAACTATAATTTAGTACATCGAAGGACGTTTTTTATCTAAATTTTATAAAAAACGAGCGAGAAAGAGAAGGAGAAATTCATTTACAATTATGTATGCACATGATAGACTTTGAATCTAAATATATCAACGAGCTTTAATATGGTACAATCCACATGTTTGGAGGCGCTTTTGACATGTCCAAGCCACTTCTCGTACAAAATCATCATATTAAAGTGTTCGTCCTATGACCTAAAGGGTTCGTTTAAGAATTTGTAATGTTTGGTTGATGATTCATTTTCAATTCAAGTTTCTTCTCGAAGTAGAGCACTTTTTTTTTTTAAAGTCGACCCAAATGCACTCGATTAAGTGTTATATAGACTGAAATTAAATGAAGTTTATTTTAACTAAAATTTAATTGAGTCCCGCGTTGGTTGGGGGAGAAGAACAAAACACCCCTTATAAAAGTGTGGAAACTTTCCCCTTCATCTAGCACACACGTTTTAAAGACTTGAAAGGATCCTCTTAAGGGAATTGTCAACTTCTCCCTACTAAAGGTTATATAATGTGAGCCGTTGTTGTTATTCTCTTACTTGCTTATATAACGTATCTTTCAAAATCTCTTTTTGCCCTCATTTTCTAAAACCTTCTTCTTAAACCGAGACCAGAGGCTCGAGCATACGTTGTTTGGCCGTAGGCGACGTAAGAACGAATTGGCTTAGATCACTTGTCGTTGGAAAGTGAGTGACGCACAATTGCAAGTGAAAGTCCAAAGAGGACAATATCTGCTAGCGGTGGATTTAGGCTGTTACATATTTGGTCTCTCTCGCTAATTCTTATTTTTTTAATAATAAAATTACAAATTTGGTCTCTCCACGTTTAAAGTTATGTGTAACTAGTCATCGCCTTTTAGGTCGACAAAGAGGTAAGGGGAGGAGAGAGAAATTGATTTAGGGACAACAAACATGCATCGAGGGCTATGACTTTGCCTTTGATACAATTAGGGAAGGCCAAGTGACCTTCTACCAAATTTTATACATAACCCTCAACTTTCAACAGGGAAACCTATCTTTTCTTCTTTCTTCTCTCGTTATCCCTAGTTTTACCACTTTATAACTTCTTTTAATGGTTGGTTTGTGGGAGGTAAATAAACGTATGTGTAATTAGTTAACTCGAACACTAAAAAATCGAAGAAATTATGAGCTAAATAACCTTAAAAGATTATCTCCAACTCTATTCGATAAAACTCAAATGAAATTATGGGTTAGATAATCTTACAAGATTCTCGCGAACTCTATTCTATGAACCCCAAATGAAATCAAGAGCTAAATAATCCTAAAAAACTCTTCCGAATCCTTTTCCAAAAACCCAAATGAAATTATGAGCTAAATAGCCTTAAAACATTCTCTCAAACCCTATTCCAAAGAACCCGGATGAAATTATGAGCTAAATAACCCGAAAACATTCTCTCGAACCCTATTCCAAAAAACCCATATGAAATTATGAGCTAAATAACCTCAAAAGATTCTCTCGAACCCTATTCCAAAAAACTCATATGAAATTATGAGCTAGATAACCTCAAAAGATTCTCTCGAACCCTATTCTAATAAACCCATATGAAGTTAAGAGCTAAATCACCCCAAATGATTCTCCGAACCCTATTCCAATAAACTCATATGAAGTTACGAGCTAAAGTGCGTATATATATATATATATATAGAGGTAAGAAATACACATAAAAGGATGTATACGTAGAGAGCTAGAAGATTACCTAAAATTTAATGCAAAGCTTAAGAAGAATTTCCAATGGTAAGAAAGAAAGACGGCTCTGACAGACCAAAAAAAAAAGGTACAAAAAATTAAGGTTGTCGTGTAGCAGTATGTGTTGGTGTGTTTTTTTCAGCAAAAATCTCATATTTAAGCCATGATTTCTGGTCTCAAACTACTCTCTCTCCTCTCTCTCTCTCTCTCTCTAGACCTACAAAATCTTCAAAGGTCCAATTTTTACACAAACCTTCATAATTTTTCTTCTTACATTACTAATTTTGATAAATATTTGTTCCTTTCTTCATCTTATTCTTGCAGGAACATGTCTTCTTCCACCTATTCCAACTCCCCCTGTGCAGCCTGCAAGTTCCTCCGCCGAAAATGCCTACCGGATTGCGTTTTCGCGCCCTATTTCCCCCCGGAGGAGCCCCAAAAGTTCGCCAACGTTCACAAGATCTTTGGTGCCAGCAATGTCAGCAAACTGCTGAACGAAGTCCAGCCACACCAGCGGGACGACGCTGTGAACTCGCTCGCCTACGAGGCCGAGGCCAGGATGAAAGACCCCGTCTATGGCTGCGTTGGCGCCATCTCCATACTCCAAAGGCAAGTCATCAAGCTCCAAAAAGAGCTCGACGCCACCAACGCCAATCTCATTCGCTACGCCTGCACCGAAATCCCCGCCCCGTCTCAGTCCTCGTCCTCGCAATACGCTCGAAGGTCGTCATCGACCAGCCACGACGGAAGCTCATCCACCTCTAGCTATGGCCACTACTATTCCAATCCCTACTTTTCTCCATGGAGTAACAGCCATAATGGCTCTTGTGGAGATGGCCATGACAAGGCAGAGTTCAAGTAAATTTTTCATTACGCAATTTGATTAATAAATATAAATTATAATTACAAATCACACCTTTCAGTTCGTCTAATTTGCAAATTATATCTCTCTATGTTTTGAAAATGGTTTCAAACATCCTTATAATTTGCAAAATCTATGAATTATAAGTACCCTTTTGGTATAATAATTCTTAGAAGGGTATATTTGCAAATCTTAAGAATCTTTGAGGTATAACTTTTCAAATAGATCAAAGTAGGAGGTGTAATTTGCAATTATCTTCTTATATATCAATATAAACATATATAAATTAATATATGTTGTATATTTTAAATATCTGTTTGGAATGATATGGTAAATAATATTTATTATTTATTATTTATTTCTTATGATTTAATTATTAAGATGTCGTTGGATAACGATTTTGTTTTTAATTTTTCCTTGGTTATTTATTTTCTATAATTATTTATTATTTTTAAAATTTTAAAAATAAAAATAAGTTTTTTTGTAGCTATGAATTGAATTTCAATTTTTTTTTTCAGAAAGTAAATAGAATCGATTTTTCAAAAATAAAAAATCAATGAATTTAATATAAAATTAATAATCTTAAGAAAGGATTGGCATAAATAAATGGCTATTTCTTGACAAAACGACGTGATATATATGTCGTTTAAGAAAGAAAAAAAAACATTAAATGTCACACTCATATGAAATGAGTTTCAAAAAGTATATTATTGTCAACCAACTTTGAAAAACAACCCCAAAACATTTTATAATATATTTTATTATTATTATTATTATATATGATATTTTTGTTTTGTTTTATTCTTTTATTTTGGCAGTGTGCCAATATTTTAAATAATTCTCATAATTATTTTGAATTTTCTTTGAAATCAAAATTATACAATATTTATTTTATTTTGATCTTTAAATTATACAAAATTTTGTTTTTATCTTTAAAAATTATACACATAATTTAAAGATTCTATAACAGTAAAAGTATATAATAAGAAAAATAGAGTAATAAAAAATGTTTTCAAAAATAAAAAACTAAAAACAAAATCATTACGAGTACATTATTTTATCGTAGTTTAAATTATAATATAGACGATAATAATAATACATAAATATAAAATATTAAAAAATAATTATTTATTAAAAAAAATATTTTTAATGAATTTAAACTCAAATTATTGTTTGCTCGAATTAAATCGTAAACAATATAAGAATTAAAAAATGTCAAGTACGATTGAGTTATATTCATTTTTAATAATCGGAGTAATAATATTTTAAAAATTAATCGGATATTATATTAGGTATAATGTGGGTGTCAAGCCAAACACATATTTTAATAAATAATGTAAAAATGGTCATTTTAAATATCGGTAGTTTGAATATATATGAAATTGCATGCTTTCATAAATTAACATATTTTTTTTAAAATTAATAATATAATATAAATAAATAAAATTATAATATTCCTAGACATTTAAGTTGGACGACGTGGCTATTTTTAATTTGTTATAAATAGTAATATTCTCTAATAATTATTGCGTAAAATAATATGATTTGTATCCTAATTTTATAGCAATAATTGTGATAAGATATATATCCTATTGGATTCTAAATAATTTGTTAAAGAATTAATATTATGAAATAAGTTTTTTATAAGGTTGTTTGAATGGTTATCTGAACACACACGTCGAAAGTATGCTACGAACCTGGCCGACATGAATGTTCAAGTCTTCTAACAAAAAACAACGCCCGTTATGATTAAAAGCAATTTGTTTGGCTATGAGTTTCTTCTCGATTTAGATGCAACGTATAAAAGGTGTGAAGTTCAACATGAATATATATCATATATATCATGCCTTGTCTAAATCAAAGAAACCTTACACGATATAGAGCTCGAATTTGAAATCCATGAAAAGACGTGGATATAGTAATGGTATGTTGGGACGTGGCACTTGACCTAAACAATGCATTTCGGTCATAATTGAGTAAAGGTATGCTTTGATTGGTTATTAGTTATCGTATGATGACAATGTCACGTGAGATGCTTGGAATTAGTTTAATTATTTAGAAAATTTCCGTTGATTAAAAACTAATTTTTTAAAAATATTGTTTAATTAAAACAAAATAATATTAAAATTATTTATTTCAATAAAAACATAACTTTAAAACTAATATTTATATCAATAATATTAACAATATATTTTCTAAAAGAATATTTTAAAAACCATTCTATCTTTAGACATAAAATTAATTTGTATATTAATAAAAAATTGAATAGTTATTAAATATATTCGATAAAGTATTAAATATTTTACAAACTAAAAAAACCGACATGTCACTGAAACGCGTGGTTAACCGAAAGTAGCGTCGCAAAAGTCCATGAATCTCTCTCTCTGCCGTCATGTCGTACTAATATTTTAAAAATTTAAAAATTTAAAATAATAATAATAATAATAAAGGACGCGTGGGACCCACACCAAACGCATTAGGAAAGGACCACCGACCCTACAACCATTCCCTACTGTTACCTATGGTCTTACGGCTGCGACACCAAGACGTGCCGTCGCCCAACCCCCCTAAGGTAGTGTCCTAAATTTATTTTTCTTAAATATACTATTTAGTCCTCATTATTTGGTTTTTTTTTATTTATTTTTTATTTTTTAATTCTATCTCTATTAATTATTGGTTACTCGATTTTTTAATTTAGTCTTTGTTACTTTTATAAATTTTAATTTAGTTCTCGATATCAAGTTGTAACTTAATTTATTGCTCGGAAAGAAAAAGAAAATCTTCAAAAATTGGATTGAAATTTCAATTTCTTTTAAATGATTTTTTTATAATGTTTTTATCAATTTTTCGAATATTATATTCAAATATTTCTAATATTCACTCCAAAAAAAATTATTACGAACTAAATTAAAAAATACAAAGTATTAAGAATTAAATTGATATTATAGAGTTGAATTTATACTTTAATCCATAATTTTCTAAGTATTTTTTTAATTTGGTCTCTAATCTTATAAAAATGGAAATTTACTCGTTTTATAAGAATCTTTAATTAAACAATTAAATTTTGAGATGAAAAAAATAACAACAATAATAATAAAAAAAAACTTAACCTAGTACCTTTAATTTTTTGTTTTTAAAAATATACCCGTGTCTTATAATTTTTGGTATATTTTTTTTAATAGAGTATTACGATAATTCTTAAATAAAGATCACGAATATATAAATAAAATAGATTATATTTTCATTTCTAGTTAATAGTACGATAAAAAAGTAAAGGAAAATAAAAAAAAAAGTTAATTAGGGATGATTTGATGGATGAGATGAGGAGGAATCCCCAATCATTCATGGTGCCCTTCGCACATGCTCTCTTAATAGAATTTTGATGTCTTGTCGTCCTATGTTTTTTTTTTTTTTTTTTTTGTCTCTAATTATTTAATTCAAAGAATTTGATAACTTTGTCCCGAAAATTAAGCTCAACCTCATATTTTGTTTGGTTTGAATTAATCCAAACATTTACTATATTTAAAGAATAATTATTTCCTAAAATAATAATAATAGTAATAATTTGACTATAATTTATTGAAAATGTTCTTCTATGAAATTAAGTTTATAAACCCCTTATAATACTCGAAATAATGTTTATGAACTTAATTTTTACGTATAAAATTAATTTATTATTAAAGGAAGGGTTAGTGTAAAATTTTAGTTTTTATATTTTTAAATATGCAATGAGTTAAATTACTCCATTAAAAAGTTTAAAATTTAATATAAATTTTAATTATTTAACGAGTTAATTAACCTTTTATATTTTATAAACAAATTTCGGTCACTAATTTAAAAAAGATAAGCTTTAAATCATTATAAATTAAATTTTAGAGTCTAAATTATTACTTTCTATATTTAATTATTTATTTTTTATTTTTAAAATTTCCATCATGTGGTTAAATGATTTGAGGTTGATTAAATGAGATGATGGGCAAGAAAAAGCTCACTATTATAAATTTAAAACCTTTTTTTTTTTTAATCTTTAACAATTTTTTTTAGTAAACTCTTATTTTCTTTTTATTTTACTTATTTTGTTGTAAGAAATGACCTCCGACAATTACGCTCAACCTCAACTTTTGATTGGTTTAAATTAATCCAACCATTTACCATTAAATTATTATTATTATTTATTTGATTCGAAATAAATCAGTGTTTTTCCCCCGGAGGTGAAGTTTTTAATGGAATATTTTTAATTAGATTTTATTATATATTATTATTATTATATAATAAAATAATTGTTGAGAAAGGACACCCAAAAATTATGCTCTACCACAATTTAAAATATATATATATATTTAGTTAAATATCTAATAACTAAATATTAATTATTTATTCAATTAGATTCCAACGTGTATTTATGGTCCAAATAATAACCATTTATTTATTTCTTTTAAATGGTATTTTTCTAGCTTTTGTTTAGGGCTTTTATTTTTTATTTTTACAAATTATTTTAATTTAATCGAGTAGTTCGAGAGAGAAGTCTATTTCTAAAGTTCAATAAGAAAAGGGAATATCAGACAAGGTTTGGAAGCTCCTAAGTTTAATTCTAAAATATGAAAACCCTCATCGATTGGAGAGAGAAACGAGTACCAGCGGTTAGAGGGAATGAATCATTTAAGTGTGTGAAAACCTCTCCCTTAGCAAACATGTTTTAAAAACCCTGAAAAATTCAAAAAGGACAATATCTATTAGCGGTGAGTTTGAACGGTTACAAATGATATCAAAGCTAGTCATGGGACGATGTGAGACACTGGTCGTTGGGCTAGACACTCTCCATAGTAGACACGTTTCAAAACCATGAGGCTGACGGTGATACGTAATGGACCAAAATAGGCAATATCTGTTGGTGATGTGTTGATGATGACCTGGGCAATTACAAATGATATCAAAGCTAAACACTGAGCAGTGTGCTAGCGAGAACGCTAAGTCCCGAAAGGGGGTGGACATCGGGCGGTGTGCTAGCGAGGACACTGAACCCCGAAGGAGGGTGGACTGTGAGATTCCACATTGGTTTGAGGGCACACCAGACAGTGTACTAGCCTTGAACGGGGTGGATTGTGAGATCCCAGATCGGTTGGAGAGGTTTCCACACTAGCAGACCCATTTTAAAACCTTGAGTGAGAGTCCATTGGAGAGGGTGTGGAAACCCCTCCCTAGCATACCCATTTTAAAACCTTGAGTGAGAGTCCATTGGAGAGGGTGTGGAAACCTTCCCTAGCAGACCCATTTTAAAAACCTTAGTGAGAGTCCAAAGAGAATAACATCTAGCTATTGCTGGGAAGCTTTTAGCTTATGGTGCTTCGACTTGAGAGTTCGTTAAATGGGGACGATTTTATTGTTAAAAGAAGTTGAGTGTCGATCCAAACTTGTTTATAATAATTTATTGGATGAACATTTGATGTGAATGATGAGAGTGATTTGTGGAAATGATTAGATATAGAAAATGGCATGGATAGAAAGGGTTGTATCAAAATAATTTTGGTACGATAAATTAAATTATGATGGGAAATGTTCCTAAATAGTGAAATTGACAAATACAAAGCTAAATTAATTTAAATATATAATCATATTTTAATTCATTATCTTATCAAGTTTCCATGATGAACAAATATTATGATAAATATTTTAGTTTAAAAGGGTTTTTCATTTTTATTTTATTTTTTTCTTTCTTTTTTCGAGTATGTATTTGTATATAATTATCTTAAACCGAGGTCTATTAACAAGAAGTTGGTGGGCCGACGTACTGGAACTTGGGCCGATTTCTTCTCCAATGTCACGGCCCAAATAGAGGTGGAATTCACAGGTTGCTCTATTAAAGGTACATGTTTGTTATTTTTTTAAACCAAAAAAAAAAAAAAATACAAAATTATTTCAGTTGACCCTCATGAAAACTAAGAACCCAACTCTTGAAAGTAGACACCATAAAAACAAACCAACGCACCAGTTTCGATCGACGATCCTCTTTATCTGGTAGTGGTCGACTAAGGCCTCCACATGCAGGGGGACGACCGTAGCAATTTAGCAAACTTCGATGGTGAGATGTCTGAGCTCAACTAAAATGCAAGTGAGAAGAAGAAAAGGCAGATGGTGGACAAGACGATGCTCATGAATACAATGAACTTATCGTATAAGACGATGCTCATGAATACGATGTTCTTCAACTCTTCAACTCTAAAGGAGATATAATAAGTGTATTATCCACTCTGTAACGTCACGTTACATAAGTAAATAGATTTGGATAAGATTGGTTTTTGATTCATTACATTGCATGATGCCGCCAATGGTAAAGGATAAGGAAAGGAAAGAGCATTGTGCAGGAAAGAGCATTAGATTTTTTTTACCCTGAATTTTTTAACCCGTTGTCACTTTCTACCACAGCTAAAATTCATAAAAAACTGTGACATAAAATTTACTGCATCAGAAAGAAAGAAAGATTCTGTACCAAGATTTGTACAAGTTGTATTCCATGCACACTGCAAAGTTGCCATTTATCGATCTAAATTTGATATCTTTTTGGTTTTATTTTTTCCCTATAAAAAGCAGTTCATAGGTTTCAAATGAAACTTGTTCCCCATGCAAAGCCCCTACTCACCATCTCACATGTACGTGTCATCATTTTGCAAATCCCACCACCATTTATAAACACCTTCCAATGTCTTTCTTCCTTCCAACTTTTCTTTGCCTTAGCCTTTCACCCAACCAAAATGGCTGATCGTCCACAACCACACCAAATACAAGTCCACCCCCAACGTCGCTACGACGACGTCGGTGCCAAGGGACGAGCAGGGCCTTCAGCCTCCACAATCCTCGCCATTGTGACCCTCGTCCCTCTTGGCGGCTCACTACTTGGACTCGCTGGTTTGACGCTGGCAGTCACACTAGTTGGCCTGGCTGTGTTCATCCCGGTTTTCATCATCTTCAGCCCCATTCTGGTGCCAGCAATCTTAACCATTGGTATGGCTGTCCTCGCCTTCTTGACCTCTGGGGCATTTGGACTGACGGCTCTCTCTTCGCTCACATGGGCTTTCAACTACCTACGCCGGGCAGCCGGGTTCATGCCTGATCAGATCGACCAAGCAAAGAGACGCATGCAGGATATGGCTGGTTATGTGGGGCAGAAGACGAAGGACCTAGGGCAGGAGATACAAAGCAGGACCCAGGAACAAGGGAGGAAGACATGAATCTAGACAGGGAAAATGGCTGAGTTATGGTTGAGTCCTGTAGGCAAGTCAATGTCGGAATTGTAGGTCTCAAGTGTTTCTTTCGAGTATTCCTAGGATAGTTCACTTTTGAGCTACTTCTAGAATGCTACCGTTGGTTTGCATTTCTACTAGTTCCAGTGTACTGCTTGCTTCTCTATCTGTTATTACTTACTAGACATGCATTGGTCGTTAAACGTATCTTCTATCCTCTCTCCTCTCAAGAATGTGACACACCATGTTCCCAAATCAAACTAGGGAGTGAAAATAACATAAAAATGATTCAGATACATAAACTATAGCTGACCTGTGTAAACTAAGATTTGTAGGAGTTAGTTTGGTGGTTTGATAATCCATAGTAGAATGCGTGTAATTATGGCTTTCATTGAGATAGATGTTCTCCTTGAGAACGAGCTTCGAATTCCATACCCGACTCGCCTGTAGACTTTGAAGTGTTGGGGATCCAGAATGTGAGTACAGTGGATGCGGCAACGAACATGACCCTGCGAGGAGCCCATTTCAAGCACGAGGCAACGCCTATGTGACTGTTCCAGCTTGCAACCTGCGATTACCATTGATGAAAGCACCACATGATAATCATCTTTTTCACAATGAAAACTAAAAGCCTGTAAACACATTTGAGATGAACAGGTACCTCAGTACGCTTGTTAATGTTCCAGGCATGCAAGGTTCCATCTCCTGAGCCTTCGGCACAAATTAAAACAAAATATTTAGTGATGAATTGTGATCGTGTGCAAGAAAACATGCGGGGTAAGAATCAAGTGGGGTTAGTAATGGGATTAATACCCGGATATAGCTATTTAATTTTTAGAAAAGATATTGAACTACGTTTAATAGATTTTGCTTAAGCCAATAGTAATTGTGAACGAAGTGGGGGATGAATCGCAGCCGAAGGCACAGCAACCGAGTAAGATAGAAAACAAGAAAAGCATTGGCAGTTGAAAAATATAGTTTTCAGAAGCAAGGCAAGTTAGTCACCTGATATGACGTACTGCCCATCTGGGGTAAAGGTAGCCTCTATGGTTGTGTTGGGAGATGGTTCCAAGCTGAACCCACATTGCTGTACGAGGGAGATACAGGATCGATTAATAGGGAGCAGGGAAGAACATAAATGATGTTTCTTTTACCTCTGTAAATTAGCAAAATAGAAGTTTAAAAACCCAAACATGCAGACTAACCTTCTCTCCTCCATATGCATCAAGAACATATATATTGTTATTTGTAGTTGTCAAGAGCATAGATTTGCCATCATTACTAAATTTGATGTCAAAGACTTCAGCCATATCTCCACCAACCAAGAAGGTATCGAAGGGTCCCTGTATATAAATGGCGATCAACTCATGCCAAAAACGATATCAAGAAATGAGGTAAATATTTATCCCGTATGAACCTTGTCGTAGGAACGTGAATCGAACAGCTTAATAGCACCTCCTTCCATTGCCACAGCAAACACAAGGCCTTGCTGGTCATACGCAACGGTAGGTCTGCCACGTAAGCGAAGTATTCCCTGGAAACTATGAAAGTAAGCACAATCATATTCGGGCGAATGATGAAATTGCGATCAAAATGCTATAGAGAATTTTAAGTTTAGGTCTTAAAAGTGTTAGGACACAATACAGCACATTCACCCACAATGAGCACTCGTCCGTTTTCTCCTATTCACGTGCGTTCGAATTATACGCGGGTGTAAATTCCTGAGAGCTATTCATTTCAATGTTCTAGCAGAGCGGGATATCAAGTCTCCCCGTTATACTAGCCAAATCAATACTAGAGAGGTAAGGGAATTGTCATACTCGTGTCCATCGAGAACACTACATTTCAACCTCGTTTTAAACAATCGTGCCTATCCAACGAACCAACTAATCTCACCTTTCAAAAGACCAACTCAGATCAACCATCCAGTTTTGATCTCATCGGATTGTTGGTTTGAAATCTAGAAGGCAATGGTTTGCTCACTTCTAGATCTCTCAGCAATGCGACAATGCCCTTGTGTACGGTGGAAATAGGGCTCACGAGCTCCTTTATAAGTATGTGGGGAAAGGGAAGTATATTCAAAGAATATTTTATTTTTATTTTTATGGGAGCTTAGCCATTGCTGTATAAACACCCATGATGTTCTACGACGGGTCTCTATTTCTCCAAATTGGCCTTTGCAAAAAAGATGATGAAACACAACACTACTCATTTCTTGTCCTCAAGCATTATCTGGAGAATTTTTTTGGCTGCTTTTAAATGGTCCACAGCATTACCAGGAGATACACGTTCATTACATGAAGCTCTTTTGATTAGTCAGACAGTCACCCGTTCAAGAAGGAAGGGAGGTCTTATGGCTTAAGCCGCTTAACCTTATAAGGATCTTCTTATGGTTCATATGGAATGAAAGGAATCATCATATATTTCACTGGCAAGAAACAGATATCCTGTTCCAGTGAAAGCCAAACAATCAGCTTCAGTGTTCCTAAAGTTGAGCAAGTCAAGTTTGATTCTCGCCATGTTATAATTCTTAGTTCTTTTGTCAATAGGAAGATGAGTATTAGTGTCAGTACAGTAGTAGCTTTATATTCCACAAAAGAGGTTTGAGGATTGAATTGTCCCGTATAGACACATGATTCAGCCCATACAATTATTAAAAACCATTTGACCAAACCTACAGTTGGCTCAGGTTCTTTTGTTCATGTGTATTTGTGTACTTTCAGTGTATTAATCTTTTTGAGGTTTTGGCCCCGCTTAACCTTATAAGGATCTTCTCATGGTTCATATGGAATGAGAGGAATCATCATATATTTCACTGGCAAGAAACAGAATGAGAGGTTTTGGCCCCGTGTGGCTGTTAGGGACATGTATATATTTATACTTCTTCATTCTAGGTCATAAAAAATTATCTATCAGCATATGGAGTTCCACCTTCAAAGAAAGCTCTTTCAAGGAAAACTCTTTCTAATGAAAGCTAAGTGTATATACATGATAATCTGAAACCAACCTGGCAAGCATTTACTCGAAGATCCCATATCCTGACACTGTGGTCGAGAGAACCTGACATGAAGCTGTCATTGATTGGAGACATGCAGAGCGAAACAACCCTGCAAAGCAAAAAGGAAAAATGGTTGTTAGACAAAGTACCTCAGTGGTATATGGAACAAAGGATGGTGATTTTTCTTATCACTTATAGATGGAATTTTGGAAACCGTCGAGAAGGGTTATTGAGATATTCTCGGGAAAAGAAAAGTAGAGAATTTCAAATAAGTCTATTGCCTACTACCACAGATTGTGAATATGGACATGCAACGCAATAAAATCACTTTAAACATCCCCCCGAAAAAAATCCCATCCAATCTCAGAAGTCTTAGTAAGGCAAACGATGAAGGCTCAAAATTGGACAATTCCTTAGAGACTAGGCACATTCTTTTTAATGAAAGACCAAACTTTTATTTAGAAAAGTAAAAGAAAAAGAAATAATACAAGGGCATATAAAAATAATAAAGACTAAATGGCTCCAATCAAGTAAAATAAGACTAAGAGTGTAATTACAACTAAGATGGGCACATTAGTTTGTTAAATAGAACAGAGCATATATTTACTTTCTTCATCTATCAATTAGCCATTGGATTTTACCTCTCTTTATGTCCTTTGAAGTAGCGAAGACATCGGTTATCATACATTGATAGGTATCGCAGTGACTCTGGAGATATAAACAGAATAAATGTAGTTAGTATTCAAAGTCAAGAAGTGCCATCAAAATTTCAAACACCCGAAGAAATTTACCTACCTCCACTAGTATCTAAATTGTATCTTGAAGAGCATATAACGGAACTTGGGTGATGGGTAAAGCATATACGATCAGCACCATGCTTTTTATGAAATGTGGTTTTGAGTAACCTAAAAATTTTAACCAGTTGGATTGAACTAAATCCCGTTAACAAGATTATAAACGATAAAATTGATCAAATGGAGAATTCTCGAATTTCAAAGAGGTTAACCAATGTCATCAAAAGTGTTGAGAGACATCGATGATTCATGTATAAACAATTGGAGAAAGCAAAGTCATAAACTAGACGGTTTAATAACGTAAAGCCTACAAAAATCTAACCTGGCATTCGCAATATCATACAGCCGCACGGAATCATCCTCACTCGCCGTCACCAGCAAATCATCCTTGCGATGAAAGTCCAGAGAATTTATCTTCCCAACCTGCAAGCAGACAATGCGAACTTTTATAAGGAAAAAAAAAAAAAAAAAAAAAAAAAAAAAAAAAAAAAAA